CTGGTTGTCGTGTGCCAGCACTCATTTGACCACTAGAACAAATTTGAGAATTCCTAGCAAGGCCACAAGCTTCTGCCCTCCGTGTAGCTTTGTTTTAGCCATTAGAATCCTGGCGTTTTGTGTGACTTCCCAATCATCAGTTCTTTTTAGTTTCTCCCCCACCTCCCTAGGTTGGCCGTTGTGGGAACTAGCCTCCAGCAGAAAGACTGGTGAAAGTCTCTTGAAAAAGCTGCCTTCAAAACACCAGCTTCAAGAGAATCAAGGCAGTTGTGAGGAGTTTCATAGGGTCAGCATAATGGTTTGATTTTTTCTCTGGAGAAGATGAAATCTGAGGTGTAAGAATCTGTTGGTGTGTAGATTTGAGAAACTGTAAAAAGATAAAAGAAGAAAAGTTTTTTGTGTGTGTGTGCAGCTTGAGTGAATATTAGGAAAAAAATTGGAACATATTCTCTCCCCTGGTTCCTACCTCTGCTTTGATAGACTCAGGCATAGACCATTCAGATCTGTGGCATTCTATTTGGAGAATTTGATGTAAATCTCATTCAACTCTCCAGTGGTTCTCTCCTGACTTCATGTTCTGCTTTTGGTTTGTTCCTGACAAAATGAAGTTCAGAGTCTCCAAGGAGAAATGCCATACATCTGCTAAGGGTGACACATATGTGCATGCTGTTTGCTAAGCTACAAAATGGTAGAACATCATGAAAATTCCCTTGTGTCAGGAGTGATACCAGGGGTTTATATGATGAAAGTAGATGTGGCTTTTTACTATTCTACATTCATGCAAATCATATTAGTAGATATTGTTTTTAAAAGCATGCTGTATATTTCGTTGGTATTTTCTATTTGCTTTCTAAAGGAAGTGATTACAAAAAATTCTGTAGTTGTTAATGTGTGTCAACAATATATTGAATCCTTATCCCCTAAATTTCAGTTTCTGAAAGCGTGCTAAGTATCATATTTTACAAAAAAGGGGCAAATGCCTACAAGGGATACAATTATTAAACATGGTAGAAGGAGGCATACTCTGTCTTTTTTATGTTGAGTCAGTATTCACAGGAAATATTTTAGGGAAGAAGTGTCCAGATTAAGACTACAAAACCTTGGGTTTTCCAAGCAACTGAAGAATACTCTGGGCCTGGCTTTTAGAAATGAGTCAGAGGTGGAGATGCAGCTGGTTCTGCTGTCCAGTGGAGCTCCAAGCCAGCCCCTCCGTTACAAGGTGTTTTATAATCCTCCTGCCTATTCACATAATGAATTGCAAGGCCTCTTTGAATTCCCATGTACTTAGGTTTGATTTTCCCAGCCTTGTTGCTCTCCCCACATGGCACAGGCCTTCTAAATAAATCCCCTACTGCTGGGCAGTGACCCTGGGGTAAGCAGAGGCATCTTCCTGCCCAGCTGCAAGCCTGCCAGCAGCTGATGCTGAAGGAAGAAACGGAATAGCGCTGTAGCAGTCCCTGAGTTAGGCCTCGATGTCATGTAGGTAAATTCAGTCCAGAACACGCAGACTCTTTATTGGAATTTGTACATTCATCTCTCACAGCTGTGGAGAGTTTAGACTAATCACAACTCTCACTGGGATAGTATCATCTTGGTAATTTGAAAAAGGATCAGGAGCCTGCAGGCTTGGAACATCTTGAGAAAGCTCTGGCTCTGAAATACATCATCACATGTGGGGGACACCACTTGCGGCATCATCGCAGAGAGCTTAAGAATGCTGAAATCAAGTATTTCTCTGGCATGATTTCAAATGGCTGGAGAAATCTGAGAACTTTCCTTTTTTTTTTTTTTTTAAAGTGCACAGCAGATTCTTTCTTCTTCCATCAAACCCGTTGCTGTCAATGTGTCTGATGTTAGGTGCCAGAAATGAGCATAGCCTCTTAATGATAACAATGCCAAGGTTAACACAGCCACCAGGGGCTCTCTCAGGCATTGCTTAAGGGTGTGTTTCCATCCACAGACACGTTCGGAAGGCGTGCATCTCTTAGTCTTTCCAGTCTCAATACATTTCTCTTCAGCAGCCTGGATAAAACCTGTCACTTTGTGTCAGACCTTCTCATGTTTTGGGGCCCCTCAGACATCCATTTTTCATTGCCCCCATGTGTCCATATGGTAGGGCTAGGTTCAAAGTTGGTATTTGGGAAGTGGCTTCTGACAGCAAAGAGGCCTGTGAACTATAGTCATTTGTTCAAAAGGCCAGGATTCACAGATGTGCCGTAAGAGTGCAGTCTAATTTTTGACCCCACCCAGATGGATATTTGATCACCATCCACATAGCAACCAACCAACAGATCAGCCAAAGGAGCGAGTGGTAATGTATGTAATGTATGTGGCTCAAACCCATCAGTCCCCTGCGGGGGCAGTAGTCCAGCCAGTTTCAGAGGCTTTCATGTGAAAATGTGTCTTTCATTTCCATGATCTTCTTTGCTCCTCCTTGTTTTACATAATTTTTTTTTTTTGCTCTGTAATTTTTAACCTCTACAAAGTTAAACCTGATTTGAGAGAGCGAGAGTGAGAGTGAGTGAGAGAGAGAGAGAAAGGTTCAGTTGGAGAAATGTGGGAGGGGAAAAAGAACTTCATCTAGAGCTTACAATAAAAGCAAAGAGCAAAGTAATGGAAATGATTGCAAATGTCTCCAAGCCTACCTGTCTTCCTTTTCCCTCCATTCGCCCCATGGCTTTTAGGGAGGTTCCCAAGGTGTGGGGTAGACCACAGCACGGTGTTCCTCAGTAACCTTCCCATATACCAGCCAGTCTGTATGGCTCTGGAAAAGGTACTTGTTGGTATCTACCCTACAATGAACTGCCCAAAAAGTATTTGGTGGCTAGAAGGGACTTCAGTGGTTATGTAACCAACGTTTCATTTTACATGTGATGTGATAAAGGCTAGCAAGGGGAAGATAATTTAGAAATTCTTTGATCTGAGATTTTATTGCCACCATTTATTGCCTTATTTTCATGCTGGTTATTTCAAAGAATGGTATTTCTAGAGGCATAGTTGGATGACAGAAATTTAACTTCAAAATTGCCATATTTTAGAATCCTTCCATGCTTTCTATGTTGGTAGAAAGGCATTGCCTCCTCTCCACTTTGACGTAGGGTGTCACTGTTAGGCACTGTTAGGCTCCAGAGCTCTGTACATTAGCAGCCTATCCATATCTTATATTACACATAAGGACACTGGCTGGTGCGGGTGACAGCTGCGGCTGTTGTGTGTGTTTCTGATAGTGTTTAGGAGGAGAAGGTGTGGCTTTTGAGAATATCTAACTGAAGCCCTGCATTGGGAGTGACCTCAGTACAGCAGTTAAGATGCTGCTTGGGAACCTCTCATTCTATAGCCAAGTGCCAAGTGCCTGGTTTGAGTCTTTTTTTTTTAATGGTTTTTTTTTAATTTAATTTAATTTTATTTTATTTTGACAATCTATACATTGGTTTGAGTCTTAAGGCATCTATTTACCATGCAGCTTTCTTTCTTTCTTTCTTTTTTTTAAGATTTATTTATTTTTATTGGAAAGGCAGATATACAGAGAGGAGGAGAGACAGAGAGGAAGATCTTTCGTC